AAGCAAAACGAGCCGCCGAGTGGGAGGAGCAGCAGAGACTGCAACAAATTCAGCAGCAGCAACTGCTGCTGCTGCAGCAGCAGCAACAAGAAGCACAACTAGCACAGCAAATACAACAAATGAATCTCGCCCAGGGCGATGGCTATGTAGGAGCAGAAGCGACTGGAGGGGAGCAGCAGCAGCAGCAGCAGCAGCAGCAGACAGAAGCACAGCCTGCTGCTGCTGCTTCACCGTCCCCTGCTGCAGGTGCGTCTCACTTTAGGGCTCGCAGACAAAGAAGAGACAAAAGAAACAGAAGAGGGGAGACAACCGACAGACAGAGGAGACAAGCAGCAGACAGAGGAGACACACAGCACACAGAGGAGACACACAGCACACAGAGGAGACAAACAAAAGACAGAGGAGACACACAACAGACAGAGGAGACACACAACAGACAGAGGAGACATGTATCACACAGAGGAGACACACAGCACACAGAGGAGACACACAACACACAGAGGAGACAAACAACAAAGGAGATAACACGAAGACACCGTAGACGCACACACTGAATAGAGGGCCCGCCCGAATCGATGGTTCGGCAGCTGCAGGGGTGTCTCCTTTGTCTCCTTTTGTGTCTCCTTTGTCTCCTTTTCTTCATCTCCCCGTGCCTCCTGTGTGCTTCCTAGCTTTGCCCCTACTGTCTCCTCTGTCTCCTTTTGTATATTTTCTCTTCTCTCTTGTTTCACTTGTCTCTTCTGTCTCTGTTTCCCGTCTGTCTCTTGTTCATCTGTCTCCTTTCTCTCATCTTTGTCTCTTTGTCTCTGCTGTCTCCTTTTCAGGAGAAGACAAAGAGAAGAAGGGTGTCCCCTTGGCAGCCCAAAGAGCCCTCGAAGCGATGAAGGCCAGACGCAAACCCCTCAGGATGTAACCGCATACAAATTCAGGTGTATGTACACCACAGATAATTTCAGGTGTATGTACACCACAGATAATTTCAGGTGTATGTACACCGCAGACAAATTCGGGTGTATGTACACCGCAGACAAATTCGGGTGTATGTACACCGCAGACAGATTCGGGTGTATGTACACCGCAGATAATTTCAGGTGTATGTACACCGCAGATACATTCGGGTGTATGTACACCGCAGATAATTTCAGGTGTATGGACACCGCAGATAATTTCAGGTGTATGTACGCCGCAGATTGAGTTGTATGCACACCGCAGTCTTCGTGGTACGTACACCTTAGATTCCGGTGTATATTCACCTTTGATTCAGGTGTATATGCATCTTAGATTCAGGTGTTTATACACTGCCGTTTCAGGTGTACGTACACCGCAGTGTTGTTGTGGGGTTGTATTCAGTGTCAGTATCTCTCAGTTCTCTCTCTGTCTTCATTATTTATTTTTAAGGGTGTGGGGCAGTGTGAGGTATATATACAGACACCTTTCAGGTGTACACGCATCTCCTTTTCGGGTGTACGCGCATCTTCTGGTTTCAGGTGTACGTACACCGCAGCAGGAGGCAACTGTCTCCTTTTGTTGCTGCAGTATTTGTCATATAAACAATTTTGATGGCCGCGTGGCCTTGCAGCGGGGAAAATAACTTAATTAAACTAACTTTTTTCTGTCTCCTTTCTGTCTCCTTTCTTCTGTCTACGCTGTCTCCTTTGTCTCTTCTGTATACACTGTCTCCTTTCTCTCTTCTGTCTACACTGTCTCCTCTCCTCTGTCTACACTGTCTCCTTTCTCTCTTCTGGCTGCACTGTCTCCTTTCCTCTGTCTACACTGTCTCCTTTCTCTCTGCTGTCTACGCAGCTTTCCGTTGTTTAATTTCTGTATCCAGTGCTTGTTGCTGCTGTTGTATTCATGTCTGCACTATATGTCTCCCGTCTCCTTTCTGTCTCCACTGTCTGTTGTTTCTTTCTGTCTGCTGTCTCCTTTCTGTCTCCTTTCTGTGTGTTGCTGCTTGATTTGTATATCAGCTCCCTAAGATGTTGGGTTTTGTTGATGGAGAGACTGAAGGCCTTAGAGGCCATCTAGGAGAGAGAAAGTCCCTGGCGGGTCTCCTGTCTCCCCTTGCTCACGATGCTGCTGTTGCTGTTGCTGCTGCTGCTGCTGCTGCTGCAGTTGCTGCTGCTGCTCATGCTGCTGTTCATGCTCCTGCTGCTGTTGCAGCAGGTGCTGCTGTTGCAGCAGCTGCTGCTGTTGCAGCAGTTGCTGCTGTTGCAGCTGCTGCTGTTGCAGCTGCTGCTGCTGCAGTTGCTGCTCTTGTAGCTGCTTAAGCTGCTGACGCTGCTGCTCCTGTAGCTGGTGCAGCTGCTGGTGCTGCTGCTGTAGGCGCTGCACCAGCTGCTGCGGCTCTAGCTGATGCAGCTGCTGATGGTCTGGCTGCATTTGCTGCAGCTGCTGCAGCTGCTCATGCAGAGGTATATGTCGGCGCTGCGGGCCAGCAATTTTTCCTGCTGCTGCTGCTGCTGCTGCTGCTGCTGGTGTTGCTGCGTGTGTGAATCCTGCCGCCCCCGGTGAGGAGAGAGGAGACACCGGAGCAGCAGCAGAGACAGCGGAGCTGCGTGCTGCAGCAATTCCCAGCAAGGGATCAGCAAAGAAGGGTCTCTCGGGTGTATAGGCATCTCCACGTGCTGCGGGATGTGGGGGGCCCGGGGCCTGAGGAGACAGAAAGAAAGCTGATGGGGTGTCTCCTCACCGCCGCAGAGAAATACTGGGTTAGGGGCTTCTTACATAGCGGTAAAGTAAATAACAACAACAGAGACAGAAGAGGTAGAAGAGACAGAAGAGACAGAAGAGACAGAAGAGACAGGAGGAGACAAAGGATATAAAGGAGACAATGGAGACAGAAGAGACAGAAGAGATAAAAAGGAGACAACAGAAACAAAACAGAAAGGAGACAAAAGATACAAGGAGACAGTCACGAGGAGACAGACAGCAGCACACGTACACCTAAACAGGCAGAGGGGAACTGCGGCTCTCTGCGGGCCGCTGCAGCCCTCCAGCCTCTCCCACTGTCTCTTATACGCGCATGCAACAGCAGCAGCAGCAGCAGCAGCAAGAGCAGCAGCAGGAGTGTCTCTTTCTTGTACTATGCATATAGCAACAGCTGGAGCAGCAGCAGCAGCAGCAGCAGCATCGGCAGCAGCAGCAGCAGCAGGAGTGTCTCTTTCTTGTACTCTGCCTGCAGCAGCAAAAGCCCTTTCTCTTCTTTCTCTGCGAAGGGGCCCCCTAGAGCAGCAGCGCTTTACCGCGCCCCCCCCAGCAGCAGCAGCAGCAGCAGCAGCAAACCATTGCTGCACATCTGCAACTCCTAAGCCGGAGACAGCACTCCACCCCACAACCTGACACCTGAAGGAGACAGGAGACAGAAGAAGACAGAAAGAAATAGATATATCTCACCACTGTCTGCTGAGATATAAAAGGAGACAGAAGGAGACAAACGGAGACAGAAAAAACAACAACGACAGAGAGAGAGGAGACAGAAGGCGGGCACCAAGAGGAGACACACAAACACACACTGTCTCCTTTTGCTGTTTGTCTGTGAACGGAGACAGGAGACACAAGACAAGAGACAGGAGACAACAAACAGGAGAGATGAGACAAAATACAAAAAACAAAAGAGAGGAGACAAAAGACACAAGAAAGGAGACAGTAGACACATGAAAGCAGACAGTAGACACGAGAAAGGAGACAAAAGACACAAGAAAGGAGACAGGAGACACGAGAAAGGAGACAAAGGACAGAAGAAAGGAAACAGAAGGCAGAAGACAGAAGAAATGAGACAAAATACGGAAGAAAGGAGACAAAAGACAGAAGAAAGGTGACAAAAAACACGAGAAAGGAGACAAAAGACAGAAGAAAGGAGACAAAAGACAGAAGACAAGAAAAACAAAAGACAGGAGAAAGGAGACAGTAGAACGATGAAAGGAGACAAAAAACACGAGAAAGGAGACAAAAGAAAGAAGAAAGGAGACAGTAGAAAGAAGAAAGGAGACAGTAGAATGATGTCTTTGACCCGCTTACGTCTGCTGCACCTCCTCAGGCAGCGCCAGCAAATCCTCAATTTCTTCAGGGTGACGCGCTGCGCTTAGGTCCTAAAAGGAGACAGAAAGAGACAATAAAGGAGACAGAAAGAGACAATAAAGGAGACAGAAAGAGACAATAAAGGAGACAGAANGAGACAATAAAGGAGACAGAAGGAGACAATAAAGGAGACAGAAAGAGACAATAAAGGAGACGGAAAGAGATAATAAAGGAGACAGAAAGAGACAATAAAGGAGACAGAAAGAGAGAATAGAAGGAGAGAGAAAGAGACCATAAAGGAGACAGAAGGAGACAATAAAGGGGAGAGAAAGAGATAATAAAAGGAGACAGAAAGAGACAATAAAGGAGACAGAAAGAGACAATAAA